TCTACGATTGGCTAAGGACGGCAAGTTTATTAATAGGAGTCTACTAGAGTAGGAAGGTAATCTTTGGTTTGCATCCCAATTTAAACCGCGTAGAGCGAAAAGTAAAAAGTTCTTTTGAACCGACTCAATGCGTTTACTATGGACGCCGTACTGAGGGCTCCAAACGCAGCATCCATATTCTAGGATAGGACGAACTAAGGAAGTATATAAGGATTTAGTAACATAGGGGTCATTGAATTCCTTCGACCACCGTTTAATAAATCCAAGCACACCATAGACGAAATATGATCAATAAAGTCAAGTTTTGGGTCCAAGCGGACACCCAAATCGTCAACAGTATTAATTCTTTAAAAAGAGCAGCAGTTCAGCGTGTAAGTAGCAAGCTTAGGAACGACACGTGAGAATGTCATTAGCTTGCATTTCGAGCCATTTAAGTTTAATAAGTTTACACGGCACCAAGTTTGAAAATTATTAAGATCTGTTTGTAAATCCGACTGGCAGGCAATGATATTGTATTGCACGCAAAGCTTGACGTCATCCGCGTACATAAGCACTCTGGAGTTAGTCAAGACTTTGGGCAGGTCATTTATAAATAATGTAAACAATAAGGGCCCCATATGGCTTCCTTGCGGGACGCCAGATGTGACCCTTAGAACATTGGATAAATTATTCTTAAAGAGGACCGTTTGCGTCCTGCGATTCAAATAACTTGAGATCCAATAAAGAAGATCACTTCGAAAACCCATTAAATCGAGTTTTCTAACAAGGAGAGAATGGTTAACACAGTCAAATGCTTTACTGAAATCAGAATAGATTACATCTGTCTGAAAATTATTGTGGAAGCCCTTTAAAATATAGGAAGAGAGCTCCAAAAGATTTGTTGTTGTTGATCTTCGCTTAATAAAACCATGTTGACATGGAGAAATAACCGATCTACAAAGGTACTGTAAGTGAGGGGTGATAATGTTTTCAAATAATTTAGGGATGGCCGACAACTTAGAGATTCCTCTATAATTGCTGGCATCCAATTTGCTACCTTTTTTGTGGAGAGGAATAAAAAACGATTCCTTCCAAATAATGGGAAAGTGGGAGGTTTCTAAGGACAAGGTAAACAATTTCAGAAGGGGATAGCACAGGGCGTCGGCACAATACCTGAGCACACAGCCAGGAATTCCGTCGGGACCTGGCGAATAAACTGGCTTGACACGATGAAGATCTAAAAGGAGAGAGCTTTCGTTTAGGCTAGGACAGAAAATTAAGTTTGATTTGGGTATGTAGGTCTGGTGTAAATACGAAGAGCTTGAATAAGTTGTTTGAAAAAACTGCTAAAATAGATCGGCTATTGCCTGATTATTATTTGCGATAGTATTTTCAAATGAAGGCGAGGAAATATTTTTGTTATGCTTTAAGTGTCAAGTGTTTAGTGGTAACAAAATTATAAAATTGGCGTGCTTGATGTTGTCGCACAGCTAGCAGGCTATTGTAAGGTCCCCTTTAGAAACAGTTTTTTTGCAGGTTTTGGCGAAACAGACAATATTAGCGGACATTATTAAGACTTACCACTGAACCTGTACTTGAGAAAAAAGAGAGTTATAAAGATAAGTTAAGAAGTGCAGCGGCACAGTGAGAGCAAGAGGGTGGGAGAGCGTGGAAGATACAAAAACTAAAACGTTTAGCTGTCGCGATGGCGCAAAGGAAAGCAAAACGAAAAAGGCACAAAAAGGAATGCAAAATATGCAAAAGATAGCACTAGCAACACAACCAAACTGGTAAATAAAACCTATTATAAACACATATCAAAATTGCTGCATGCACACGCGAAGTGAACGGGAAGTTATTAACACAAAATAAAAAATTTAAGTAGACCCCGGTGGTTATTTTCAAACTTTAACACAAAACGAGAGCGCAAGAAAAAACACGTCCGTTCACTTGGGAAGATGAAAGAATGACCCAACGCCTTCCAAAGAGCAGCCTTTGCCTTTCTTTTTCAAACACAGCGTCTTCCTATTCTCAACTTCTCTCTAGCGATGATAAACGACGATTCTCTTACTTCTAGCTTTTATTTGGTGGTCTTAAAAGTATCGGCAAATATTTATACATCAAAATTATTATGAGTTGCCAGATAGCTTCACCCACTTCGAGTATGACGCAAAGGAAACCCACCTATTTCGAATCCCACATTAATATTTCAAAAGAAGAAAGGAATAAGAAAATCAACTCAATAAATTTTTATACGTATAGACTGATGATTCGGCAATTTGTTGAGATACGGCCTTTTGTTTCAACAGTATTGTGTCGACATGTACGTGAAAGTAGAAACGAGGGCTTAAATTTATTCGTTTTAATCAGTTGAACTTACGATCGACATGTACGTGAAAGTAGAAACGGAGAGGCTTAAATTTCTTTGTTTTAATCAGTTGAACTTACGATCAGGCATACATCGCATACATGCGCAATGCAATTGTTACTGAGAACCCGCGGCCAAGCTTGGTCGTTTGACCATTCCTCCTGCTACTTATATTGAAATCCCGCGCCATATGCATGAGTACGCTCAAGATGCGATGACGTACGTGCGTAGTTAAGGACTCCCGAATTTATTCCCCACATTAACGTGCAATACGAGATGGCCAGAAATTTCAAGTTTGTTGCTGCCGGGTATTCAAAAACAAAAGATGACAGTACTTACGGATTACAACGTGCAGCTGAAAGTTTTTGTCATAGTTCGCTGTGTTCGCTGTACTCGAACGAATTCCACACGTACATATTCTGCTTTGGATGCTAGACAAGATCCGACCACATCATATTGATGCGATTAATTTTGCGGAAATTCGGAAAATTACATGGATAACGGAAAACCCACTAAGCGTTTTTCTCATCCATTTGTGCGTGACACAATCAGTGGTCATGACTGATATCCATTCTAACGGCATCACTCTCCAAATGATAACGGTAGGTGGATAACACACTGATCGTTCCATATTATTCGCTTTTGTTGGTGTTGTGTTGTTGTGGTAAGGCTGTTTAGCGGCTTTTTGCATTACCGATTCTTGAACGTTACCCGACTGTACTACTTTCTTAAGTCTATTCTACAGATGCCCAGGACGAATATACACAGTTTATCCAGGCCAAGATGAATGCTTCTATATACGTTTGCTTTTGGTAATCATTAGAGGCCCAACATCATTTAACACACTGCGTACTGCAGATGGTGTGGTGTTCTCCACTTTTCGCGAGACTTTGCTTAAAAACAATACTCATTGGGACTCACCACTCTGTCAACAACTGTTTCTGCGCCATCAAATTCGTACATCATTTGCGATTATCATCCGTCGAACCTAGTTGTGTTGTATGACAAATACAAGGACGAGATGGCTGACGATATTTTGCACTACTTCTTATTTCGACTTTGAAATTAACGACGAAATGAACAAAGAATGTTTGTTTTGCTTGGAGACATGAGCATGCTCATGTGCGACGGTCTGCTTTCGACACTGAGAATGCCAGCACCAAATAGTTTCAACGGGAGCCAAACTATGATCGAGATGAACTGGCCGAAAAAGTTGAAAACAATGTGCCGCTTTTAAGCGCAGAGCAAAATTGTCGATTTGCTGATGAAGGTGGTTGACGATGGAACGAGAGGCATTTACTTTCTCTACTCTCCCGGAGGGACTGGGAAGACATTCGGCATTTCGCTGATTTTGCAACTATTCGGTCAAGATCACAAATAGCTACCACCATTGTTGGAAGATGGTCAAACTGCACATTCCGCATTAAAGCTGCCTTTCAATTTTTTTTCGGGTGAAAGTCCAACGCACACAATGACCGAAAATTCGGCAACAGCAAAATTGATGCGAGAATGTAATTTAAGATTCAAGATTATTTGGTAGGGCTTTTATTTATATTTTCTCTCATCGGAGCTGCAACTGCCGATCGGACGCTTGGCTTCAATTAATATTCGCTTACAATGTAGTTTTTCTTAACAGATAAGGCGAAAAAAGAAGAGAGAGAGAGCAATAGATAACAAAAAGAGCGCAGCAGGTACAGCGGTACACCTATGCGTGAAAGGTTGGTGTTGCACGCGCATCGGCAAGGGACTTATTTAATGTTGCAGTATTGTTTTGTATGTTTTCCATTGATTCGCAGTAGCTCTTCCAAGAATCCTTCTGGAATTCTTAAACCGCCTTTTTCTAAGCTTTTTTACTACTTCAAATGGGTCCCATTTCTTGTTTTCAATAACAACATTCTGACTTCCTACGCCACTGCTAGATCGGTGTACTGAAATCATAAAGTTTGTACAGTAGTGTATATCCTGGAAGTCACAGACTATAGACTCTGCTGTGGTCCAAAGCTCTTATAGTAATCCAATGTCGATATACTCTGCCTCCCGATATTGCCTCCCTCGGTTTAGCAAGGGAGTTTCTTTGCCCACTGTGGTTCGTTCTCGTTCACATCCTGACTATCTTGGCTATCTATCTTGGCACTATCTTGACTATCTTGGTACTTAAACTCTCTTCGGAACTTCACAGTGTGGCGATGTCTCAACTTGGTATCAGTAGTTCTTCGATGTAGATTGAGATGCTGCGCCCTCACCTTCTTTTCCTCATTCATCTATCTACGAAATTATTTTTGGGGTTTATTCTCTCAACGACCTCCGAAGCTTGGCATTTTGCCCATATTTCATTTTTATTTCATTGCTCGACCAGGAAAACACAGGAGACACCTTAGCTGCCAACCTTAGAGTCATCGGGCAGGTACGCCATTTAGTCAGGTAAACCATTTGTAAGCATCCTTGATCGAAACTTACCCGTGGGCCTGCTTCCACCCGCCACCTCTTGGAAAATGAGCTATGGCAGAAGACTCGGTCATCCGTTGTTTCCTCTGTGTACCCTTTTGGCTAACTTATCTTTTTTAAAGTCTCATTTTTTTAAAAGAAATATAACAAACAAAATTTAAGAAAAATGATTTCATAAATACAATTACGAACAGAAATTTATGTCACTCAAATCTTAATAGTTAATTATATATTTAACTTTACGATCTGTTAGCTACCAGCTTACAGTGGTAGTTTCTGTAAAAGGTTTGCTGTTTGATGTGTAGAACTGTGAAAACCACATTCGAAACTTCTTAATGGATGCATCTTCCTTTGCTAAGATTGGATTTCGACGGAACATTTTATTATTCCATACATTAATATCTCGTTGAAACTAAAAATATACATACAATAATTATAATTGATTTTAAAGACGGTTACTTACCATAAGACTTTCCCCAAAAATAAATATTTTTATAAGTGGCCCAAAGTACCGAGGAGCATAAAATCGATGCACAACTTTTTGTAAAAAGGGCCCAATGGGTGTAATACTTTGGAAAACTTGAAAATTTCCAAATAAAGTAGAACTTACTTTCAGGCATACAAAAGACGGTCCGATCTAAAAAAGGATTTGTTATTGTAAATAATAGATACAGATAAATAGTAAACCTGTTTGCCAGATATATCCATACGAAAACAGTTATATTTTCCAAATATTACCAATGCATGAGTAAGATTCACTTCCGCTAAATGCTTGCTTTTTCCAAAACGCGGAAACCACCTAAACACAAATAAATAAACAAATATGGTTGAAACTATAATATTGGGCTTGGTCTATTTTTTTATGCATTAATTATACACTATGGTTTAAGCGATAACTTTTTCTTCGAAACGTGACTAAATAACACTGTTTTAGCTTTATGACATACAATTTTGGGTATCAGAAATAGTGGAAAAAAGTCATAACTAGCTTGACCTCGTTCCCCCGGTTCGAACTTCTGCAAACTAAAATTAACACATATCTTATATATAGCACATTAAGATACTAAAATGGAACCTTAAGATTTACTAGCCATTATTGAAAACTAAACGCAACTTTAACCGACTTTAACCCGAATTTTCATATCTTCAATTTATCGGAGCACGAAAATAAAATCTTTTTGAATTTCGATCTGGTAATCATTTTCATTCAGTAAATCAATGTGGGAGCCACATTGGTTTAACATTCCTACTAAGTGAGATAAATAAAATAGTTATCGGACTTTAGTTCTTTTACATTTTACATTTTACATAATAATAAGAGCACAGCAATAATGGTAGTGAAGTCGGCAAAAAAGCCGTCGCTGAAAGTTAAGCCATTTAAGTATGCATGTCCCTCCCAAAAAACATAGTCGGGTGACTGAGAGCGTGGGAGATAGAAAAACTAAAACGTTTAGATGTCGCGATGGCGCAAAGGAAAGCAAAACGAAGAAGGCACAAAAAGGAATGCAAAATATGCAAAAGATAGCACTAGCAGAACAACTAAGTTGGGAAATATAAACCAATTAAATACACAAATCAGAATAGCTGCATGCACACGCGAAGTGAACGGTAAGTTATTAAACACAATATGGAAGATTTAATTTAACCCCGGTGGTTATTAGCAAACTTTAACACAAGTCAAGAGCGCAAGAAAAAAAACACTTCCGTTCACTTGGAAAGATGAAAGACTAATTCGATTTCGAAAGATTAAAACTGATTTCAGTAAAGCATTTGACTCTGTTAACCATTCTCTCCTTTGTTAGGAAAGTTGATTTAATGGGACTTAATAATAATTTATCTAATGTTCTCAGCGTTACTTCTGGCGTCCCACAAGGGAGCCATTTGGGTCCCTATTGTTTACATTATTTTTATACAATCTGCCCAAAGTTCTAACTAACTCCAGAGTACTTGTGTACGCTAACGACGTCAAGCTTTGCGTGCAATATAAGGCCATTGCTTGCCAGTCGGGTTTACTTACAGATCTTAACAATTTCAAAACATGGTGCCGCGTAAACGTATTAAACTTAAAAGGCTCCAAATGCTAGCTAATAACAAACTTTTTTTTTCTTCCAGGCTTTTTTAAACGCTAAACTGCTAACTGCTAAACTGCTAAATATCAATTGAATTGAACATGAAACATAAAGCTAACACAAGACTCACAACGACCACGCAAGTATGCTGTCCTATTAATGACAATTAATCTGTGCTATAGTATGTCAGTTTGACATTAGTATGTGCGTTGTCATGAAAGTGTTCCCGCCGAATGGAATAATAAATTAATCCGGTGAGTCTCTTCCATTCTGCTTCACCTGAGTGATCTTTTATTTTTCGCTCGGATCTACGGTGTTAAATTTTAGTCTCCTGCGCCTTTGCTTTAGCATTTACGCTTTCCCATCCACTGTTTCTCTCTCGATCTCTCTCTTTTCTGCCTCGTCCTATTCTCGGCACTGGGTGTGCTATCAACTACCCATTTCCTGCTGAAACGGAAAATCAGCATTTGGTCAGCAGGTCTTTCTTTGCAGCAAAGCAGCGATCATCCTCTGCCAATTCATCGAATGGGATCGGGTTTTAGTATGCCATCGGTTCTAGGTCGTCTACCACTTCCCTATGTCGAAAGGGATAAGTTACCTTGAGTCTGTGATGTCTATCTGTCATGCTGTGGTTTTTCTCCTATGTCCTATGATTTGGCTCTTTCCAAATTTCTGTCAGCCACGCTCGATTGTTTTCGGCCGTGCTGTCTCTCCTGTAGATAGTAGCTTACTAGTAATCTCGGTCGTTTTAGTTAGCCTGCCTGATTTACTTACTCTAGTGAAACCTAAGTTACGCCTAATAAAAAACAAAGCATGCTTTAGAAATTTGTTTGCTTAATCGATAAAAACCACGCTGTCTGCACCTTAATACTACATATGAAGTAATTAATATTTAATGCTATGTATAAAAAATTAATTAAATTAAATTAATGAGGATAATGTCATTCTAAAGTGCCTTCCGCTATTCCAGCAATTCGCTGTCGACATAAATGTCAAAGTCGAGACCAACAGATCAGCGTTCATCCGATTCAATCAGGCAAAGCTACGATCTAAGAAATATATATACTTGCGTTATGGTATTCATTCAGATGGTGTTGTTCAGAAGATTGGACGTTTGACGATTCTCCCATCATCTTATATCGTAAGCCCACACCACATGCACGAATACGGTTAAGACGCTATGACGTACATACTAAATTATATACTTCGGCTTTATTTATTAATTTCACATGCAATCCGAAGTGGACGGAAATTGAACGTGAGTTGCAACCGGGCCCAATACCGCAATACCAATACCGATCGCCATGACATAATCGCCGAAGTATTTAAACAAAAAATTAAGGTTAAGATGGATGTGCTTACTATGTATCGAGTTTTTGATGACACGCGTTGTTATATGTACTCGGTGGAATTGTAGAAGCGTGAACTACCTCATACTCATATCCGAATTTGGTTGCTGAAAAAATTACATTCGAATGAAGTGGATGACATCATATCAGTCACTGATCCCACCTACACGACATTGTGACGACACAGATCGTGCATGGACCGTGCGGTGAATTAAATCCATTATTGCCTTGCATGGCTGATGGAAAGTGCACAAAACGATATCCGCGACCGTTAGTTGCTGATATTGCGTAGTTTAAATCCGCCGCGACTTTGAAACGGTACCCTACCTTCGGTAAAAAGACTTATGAATGCCGAATTTGATTGAAGCAACCATTATTAACGGAAAGTACACGGGTGAAAATGAATGTATTCCTCGAATACCAATCATTCCAACTAATCTTCCGTTTGACTTCAAACGATTGCAATTTCCAGTTCGCCTTGCGTTCGCAATGACAATTACCAAGTCGCAGGGCCAATCGCTAAGGGTTTGCGGGATAAATTTAGACAATCATAGTTTTTCATATAAGCAGTTATACATTGCGTGTTCACGAGATGGGAAACCATGCGCTTTTTTTGTATTAACATCAGACCAAAAATAAAAAAATATGGTTTACCAAAGACCACTTCAATGAAACGGATAATTTGCGGATATATATAACGCTTTTTGTAACCAAAAATTATAGAATTTTTTGTTTTCAAATAGAAACGAAGTTAGCCTGGTTAAATATATTATGAACTTTGCGAAAAAAATAATCATAATTGATCTCTTGTACTTTTAAGTTAGGGGCAATATTTTTTTTTAATTGTGTAAGAGGGGAAGACAGATAGAGAGATCTTAAAATATGAAAACAAATAAGATCACAAAAGCTTGATGACTCCGGGTTGGGATTCTACATAGGGAATTAACCTTCGCTTTTAAAAAACTGACATAACCCTAATAATTGAATTTGAGAGTAGTAATAAATTTTACATTTGCAATGCAAATGTATAGCCGTTGTGACCCAGTAATTTTTACTTCATAACAGGATCCGCGTCGAGCTGGTGAGTAGCCAAGGAGTAGTCAACGTGAACTTATGGTGCATTGGGTCCGCTGATCTTTGGGTTGGATCGCGTAATCGGGCCTGCACAAAAATGGGAAGGGTCTATATATTGTGGTGGAACGCAGAACCTGGAACGTCATTTATCTTTCGAGTCGAACGGCAGTGGGCAGAGGATAGCGGACGACGCGTTTCCGGTCACGAATCCGCAAAACAGCGAGGACACTACAACAAAGCCAGTTAGCAGTATTCGAATGCATTAGTCACATGAATCCGAAACCAACATAACCAAGAAAATAATATTTTAGAATCAATTCACCCTCGACAGCTGAAGCGATCGGTTGTGTTCTTCCGCGAAACGTCTAACGCAGCATCCAAGCACAAAACAAACGAGAAGATAAAGTCTTTTATCTACATCTCGAGCGATGAAGCAGACAATTTCGGCAACTTTAAGCGACCTTATAGTTTGTTAACCCCAACATGTTTGAACCACCAGACATCTGGAAGAAACAACCTCCCGACGGCTTGTTCCTAGTAGCAGCAAGCACGGATGAGCATTTTAAGTCACTGGCAGAAATCTCACCATTCATCGTCAAGAAAACCATAGACCACGCAATCCAAGGAGAAGTCATCAGTTGCAGGAAAACAAAAGACGGAAACCTTCTAATCAAAACTAATAACATATCACAAGCTGAAAAACTCATAAAATGAATCAATATGCCGTCCAACATTCCCTACCTCAACATCCCCATCAAAATCACCGAACATCGAATCCTAAACTCCACCAAAGGCGTTATCTATTCAAATGACCTAAGAGGAATAAGCGAAAGCGAAATACTGGAGAACCTCAAATCACAAAAAGTAGAAGTCGTGGAAAAAATCTACAAATATATGCCCGGACAATTTCTTAATAAAACTCAACCAACCGAAACTGGCCTCATAAAAATTTCTTTCAAACTAACGAATCTACCAGAATTCCTGAACGTTGGTTACGAGAGAGTGCAGGTTCGCCCCTACATCCCTCCTCCTGTGCACTGCAAAAACTGCTTTCGTTTCGGCCATACCACAAAGTTCTGCGAAAAGCCCCTTAACTTGCGCAAACTGTGGACTCCCATCCCACCTTGATCTCGCCAACTCAGAAATATGCCAAAATAAACCAAGCTGCATCAACTGCTCCTCCAAAAATCTGCCCGGATCCAACCATCACACCCGCAACAAGGCCTGCCCAATCTTCCTTTACAACAAAGAAGTCCAAGCCATCAAAACACTGGAAAAAGTTGATACCAGCACAGCCTGGTTCATCT